CAGCGACAAAAAATAACTCCATGAGAAATGTTTTACCTCCCGATATTGTGTTGGCATCGCCTCCGTATTAACCAGGCTCTAATTTATTTAGTTTTTTAATGCAGAATACCAAACTTTAATTGTCTTTTTTAAATTCAGTCTGTTTTTATTTTTTGATTAACTTTTGGTTAAAACTTTAACTCTTGCCAAGTGATGGAGCACAGCGCTATTTTATGTTACTCAAACACTTCTGTGTTTTCCTCACAGGCCTCGACCGTCAGCCATCTCTGTTTCATGTGGACAGGTGAGTTATTGTTACCATGGAGATGTGATAGTGTGTGTTTGTGATAGATCCTCAAATCCTGCGATAGATCCTTCTGTTGCTCAGGTGGCTTATTTTGAAAAAAAAAAGTAAATTTCTCTTTGGTTTCAGGTTATTTACATCAAAGAAAGCAACGTTATCTCACCTTACAGAAATGAGAGGGTGAGTCGACCAAATCTCTGATGTTTGTGTGTTCACTGATGTTTTCACACTCTTTGTGTGTCTGTTCTAAGAAAATCTGGTCATGCATATCCTGAAGAGCACGTCTGCATTTATCATGCTACAGTGGAGCCAAGTTTATAATTTCAGAGGGTAAACCAGCAGTGACCATTGTTACTCTGAAAGAATCCAAGACTTGTTTATGTGTTCAAATATGAAACGTAAAGCATTGCAGAAGTGGTGCCTACCCTACATGTATTCTGTATATACACCATTAAGGCCATACTAACCTGTTTTTATTGTAGTAATAATTCCATTTGATTCTGACGTTATAATTAGCATAGGATGTTGATAATTGTTGAATCTAAATCACCTTTAGATTGTGTCTCAAATCTTGTTGGTTGCTAAAATGAATGCATTACTGCACTATTCATTTAGATATGGTGGAATGAGTGTGTTTCATATCATTTAATTTTTAACCTTGTCCTTTGACTGGTCTGGAGATATCATCCTAAGTAGTATCCCCACCAAGTTTGATGAAAACTTGTTATACATGGTTATTTTGTACGCACACGCACGAAACAGTACCCTGCTTGTGCAGCCAAGTCGACAGGCTGGGCAATAAACTTCTCATATGTCTTCGACAGGGATTAAAGAAAATTAATTTTCAACTGGAGGTTTGGACTAAAACTGAAGACGTCGTTCAAACGTTACTTCAGGTAAGTGACTGTCTCAGGACTGAGCAGAGTGTGTTTGGGCGCCAGTCCATCAGATTTCCCTTCATCTGTCCATCTGTAGGGGTTATGCTGAATTTGATTTTGTGCACTCTCACTGTACGAGTTGCTGTAATTCTGCGACTCTTCTCTGTTCTTGCAGCTTCACAGAGCATCGTGTCTGGAAAAGCTCGGAGACCAGACTGCAATGGTGAGTCAGTCAGTTCATAATGTTCAGGTGCACAAGCAGAAAAGAGGAGATACAGTAAATGAAAAGCTTAAATGATTCTTTCAGTCTTTCATTCCATATATTTTTCTTCCTTGCAGTTCATGACCATTTTGTAAATATTTTGTCCTTTTTTATTGTCAATTATCAAACATACTTTTTCTTCCTGTGTTTTTCCAGATTGCAGCTAATTTACAGTCACGATTGGCGAGGTCATCGTTTGACAAAAACTGGTATGTTGTGTTTTTACCTGCTGGTTCAAGTCACATTTTACTGCTGTTTTTAGAGTATAAATTCAATACAATAACCAAATATATGACTCTGCAGTGTTTATTCTGTTGGATCACGTAGCTGAACAGGACACTGACGATACTTTGCTGTGAAGTTTTCAGAACGTGGCCGAGAAGCCTCACATGGAGTGTGCTGTGGAGATGGTCACGCCTCTGGTGTCCAACCCAGGTCACGTCTGCATCACAGATGAAAACCTTTACTTCCAGCCGCTGAACGGATTTCCGGTGAGCGTACACATTTAAGTGCTCTCAGTAAAATAAGCAGTCACTTCTTCATAACTGAGTTAATTTTAATTTCTAATCTCATGTCAGAAACACGTGATTCAAATCAAACTCCACAGAGTCAGGAGAATCTACAAAAGACGCCATGGCCTCAGACCACTGGTGAGGGATCTTGCACATACATAATGATGTTAGTTTATATCATGAACTGTCACAGTCTAATATATATGTACAGTATGATGAGTACATGTGTGTCCATGTGTGACCAAGGGTCTGGAGGTATTCTGCACTGAGAACGACTTCTGCTCCGACATCTACCTGAAGTTTTACCTCTCCGCTGACAGAGATGAAATCTACTACTACATCGCCACTTTCCTGGGTGAGAAAATCCACACAGCTGAATATGATTGAATTCAAATCTTCAAAATGTTTCCTGCTGTGGTTAATTTAGCTAATGTTGCAAAGTTTATTACACTGGCAAGAAAAATGAACTTTTGGAATCATCTGTATTTATATTTGAAATTGTCTTCAAAGAGCAGATCTTCATCTTAGTTACAATAATGAAAAAACAGAATCTTTATTAACCTTTAACAGACAAATAATAGAAATTAGATATTTGTCAGTTCACAGTGGGGAAAATGGATTGAGTTGTGTGGCTAGTCACACATTGGTCCAGCTAAGTTGACTCAGAAGGCACAAAGCAGCATCAGTGTGGTTAAGAGGAAGCTCTGAGAATCAGCTGGAGGCTTTAAGGAATCATTGAAGCTGATTTACTTCGACAATATGCAGATCATGTAGCATGATACCACAGAGGAAGCTGCTCTCTCTGAAAAAATCACTATGTTTGATTAATGCCTAAAATCAGGTCATTCCCAATGATTCACAATGTGCTTATATAAACATCTATCTAAACAACTAGTAATGGCAAAACCTAACAATTCATGATTTACACAACTTATCCCTGCTGCTCTCGTTGGTCTCCCTCAGAGAACCACATGACGGAGCACACAGCAGAGAGCTACATGCTGCAGTGGCAGAGAGGTCATCTCAGTAACTATCAGTATCTCCTCCACCTCAACAACCTGGCGGACCGCAGCTGCAACGACCTCTCCCAGTATCCCATCTTCCCCTGGGTGGTCGCCGACTACACCAGCTCACAGTTAGGTGAGTCGTCAGGCCTCTAGTGTCTGTCATGTGTTTGAAATGTAGCTTTAACCATCCACGTTTCTGTGTCTCAGACATGACGAACACCGCCACATTCAGAGACCTGAGTAAACCAGTGGGAGCTCTGAACAAAGAGCGTCTGGAACGACTGCTGGTGAGTCTCTACACTGATGTCTCTTTGTTTCTGAGCAGTGAGCGTCTGTGGTCCTCAGCTCCTCAGTAAGTCCAGAGATGTTCTCTTGTCCACAGGCTCGCTACAGAGGCATGCCTGAACCTCGCTTCATTTACGGCAGTCACTACTCGTCTCCAGGCTACGTCCTCTTCTACCTGGCCAGAGTTGGTACGTCGCACACTTCTGTATTAACACAGCATGTACGGGTCCATATCACATGTTAAGTTTATACTTGTTTCATTTTTGCCAGCATGGGTGTTGGTATTATGATAATACTGTTACTGTTTATAGCTCCCTGTTGTGTTTCCTTGTGGTTCCATGTTGATGTTCTTTTAATCTGATGAAATGTCTTGTGCCTGCAGCTCCAGAGCACATGCTGTGTCTCCAGAACGGTCGCTACGACCACGCAGATCGCATGTTTAACAGGTACGATCAGTCCAGGTCCTTTACCAACATATGCTGTGTGTTTGTTGACTGTAATTTAAACACTCATCTGACTAGACTTGAATTGTAGGATATCAGTGATGTATTGTACATTTTACTGAATTTACTGGTAAATGATCTGTTAAGAACAACTAAAGAAATAATGAAGTTACCATTAGATGTTTCTTTACAATATGTGTCAAATGTATTTATTTATTTATGAGATGCTCAGCATATATCACAATCACTACATAATCGAACAAGAATACTGGTATAAAAAAACAAAACAACGTACAAACAGGCAAAAGAAACTTAGAAACAAAAAAAAAACAGACCACATACATGTTGGAATTAATGATGATATTTCCTCTTCACAGCATCGGTGAAACATGGAGAAACTGCTTAGAGGGAGCAACTGACTTCAAAGAGGTAAAACAGATTTTTATTAATCAGACATTTATTCATTCAGAATAACAGTTTCAGTCTGCAATATCATCTCATGTCATTGAGTCTCCCTCTCACTGATGTAGCTCTGGTATTGACACACTGCATGTGTGATCTACTGCTGTGTGTAACTTTGTATGATGTTTAGGTTGCTGATAAAAATGAGCTTTCAGTTAACTCTGGTACAAACCATCATATGGCAACAGTAAAGGTTTTAGGAAATATTACACATGAACAAATAAAATAGATGATAAAATACCATCAGTATGTCTGAATACAGGAAGTTCCGACAGGGATGAGAGAAGTCTTGTCTCATTTTGTCATAACGTGGGTGTTTTTTCTCTGACGTGCAGCTGATTCCAGAGTTTTACGGGGACGACTGCAGCTTTCTGGAAAACAAGCTGAGTCTGGATTTGGGCAGAAGGCAGAATGGAAGCTTAGTCGGGGATGTCGCTCTTCCTACGTGGGCCTCAGGTATCTTCCTTTTGGGTTGAACTCCCCTCAGCCCCATGCCGCATCCACCTGATCCTGCTGCTGGTTATTAATAATTCAACTATTGTTTCTCGGTGTGCTGCTGCATATTTATTTGATCCTCTTTCACTTTGATCCAGATGCTGGTGATTTTCTCCAGAAGCACAGGACGGCACTGGAGAGTCAGTACGTGTCAGAGCATCTTCACGAGTGGATTGACCTGGTGTTTGGCTTCAAACAGAGAGGCGGTGAAGCTGTAGCAGCTCATAATGGTAAAATGCTGTTTGTCAACCTCACCAACTCACCAGAACTGGCAAACACTCACATCTGTCTCATTCACTTTCAGTATTTCACCCTCTGACCTATGAAGGTGGCATCGACTTTGACAGGTACCAGCTGAAATCCCTCAAGAGTTATTATACCAATACTTTGTCTACATTGTTTACCAAACTTCTCCCTTCGACATCTCTCTGCAAAGCATCAAGGACCCCGACGAGAGAATCGCCATGCTGACACAGACCCTGGAGTTTGGTCAGACGCCCACGCAGCTGTTCACCAGCCCCCACCCTCAGAGGATCACGCCACGGTTTCACAACATCACTCGGAGCTCCAGCATCAACTCACCAGTCAGTGAACTGTCTCCATGTGAGTTACACAGCTGTCATTTCTTTTCACGAGTTGATTATGATTAACACAGAAACAACTGATGTATAAATATATCAGCAAAGGACTGGATTTCTTTCTACATGTGTGCAGTCATGACTGAAAGAAGTGGCAGTTCTTCAACGTTTTCATGGGTATCCACATGTTCCTCCAGCAGTGACTCCTGTGTTGTTTTTCCAGCCTCTCAGAGCGAGGACTCATCCTTCGAGGACCTGACTGAGGAGAGCAAGAAGATGGCGTGGGCGAACATGGGCACCTTGACCCAGGTCTCCAGCCACAAGATCCATAAAGAGTGAGTGAAAAGGGGTCTAGTTGGCTGCAGTAGTAACTAGAATGGCACTCAGTGTAGCGCATACCTCCGCCAAGGCTCGATAGCCCCCTTAAATTGCAGACACTTGAAGATATCACTCCCCTACATGAGCCAGATTGTTTCTTTTATCAAGATCCATGAAATTATTCCCTGGGAAATCAGTCAAAAGTTCAAAACTCACCCCATGTCACAATGTTAAAGAAAGAAAAAAAACTTGATCCTCTGTCTGATCTGGGTTCTTTTCTGATCCATACCACATCCTTCTACTGAACTTTGTGTAAATCCAACCAGTAAACCAACCAACGAGGAAGGGAGACAGGGATGAAAACATAATCCCCTTGGTAACAAAGCACAGATACAGCTGGTCTACATATGAAATGAAAGCTTTGGTTGAAATATGAGGAAGTTCATGCAAAGCAAACATCCGACATGCAGCTGCAGCAGCTTCTCATCTGCCTAGTGATTTGAAAATAGTAACACACTGAATGTATTGTTGAGGAAGTGTTCAGAGCAGAAGTTGCTGAGGACAGGTCGCTGCTGACAAAATCATCTCACGTTTCAAAGTCCTTGTGTAACCTCATGTTTGTCAGTTTTGTCTTTGCTAAAACATCCTCCATTCTTCCACATGTTCTGGTAAACGTGCAGAGCTGTGACGGGCATTGCTGTGACCCGAGACGGAGCAGCCATTTTCTCCACATCCCAAGGTCAGAAAAAATCTTTCTTTGTTTCTCTACAGAGATAAAATTTGATTTTTGTAGAGGGTCAGAACAAACACAGTGATTTGGTTTAGAAATGTTCACATAGATTAGAAGAATAAAGCTGTTTTCCACGTCTTACTTCTATATTATTCCTCTGTATCATTTGACTGTTTGACTCTCCATTCCAGACTCATCACTGAAGATGTTTTCCAAAGAGCTGAAGGAGTTCCAGAGAAGCATGTCCTTCTCTAACATGGTACACACTTTTACCTCACTTACCTGTTCGCCATTTTTCCTTGTGCTCCTCCTTGACTCATTCTCTGGACGATGTTTGTTTTTCAGGCCTTGTCGTCATGTTTGATGCTGGCAGATGGTAAAACTGTGGCGTGTTCTTCATGGGACAACAACGTGTATGTACAATTTCGTATCGGCATATGATGCAGGTGTTTTAACATATTTTCCTGACTCCAAAATGTTTCTGTCCCCTAGTTATTTCTACTCCATCCCGTACGGCAGGCGGCAGGACACGCTGATGGGTCATGATGATGCAGTCAGTGAAATGTGTTGGTATGACGACCGACTGTACACGGCATCGTGGGACTCCACTGTCAAGGTAAGAAATTAATAACATTTTATCAGTTTATGCTATTTTAGTCACACGTGTGAGTGAAAAAGAAAATATGAAGGTTGAAGGATTTTCTGTGGGAACAAGGATCATGAGTTAACTGCAGTACTGGGAGATCAGAGAAGACAAAGATAAGTTACATCAGCTCATATTTATTAGAGGAAGAAAAAAAAAGTAAGACACGTAGTAAAGCATATTGTATGTGTCATTGAAAGTAATGATAATAGTGAAATTAATTTAGAAAGAAAACATTTTAACCATTCATTGTGAAAATTCTGAATCCTATTTGACAGCTTATGTGCCACTTTTTATCCATTTATCAACTATCAGGCAGCTGCTGTTTCCCAGTGACTGAGCTTTTAAAGTTCTCAGCATTAAGAAGAGGGGGCATCTCTTAGTGTGGCATGAATAGAG